TCAAATAAACACAAGAAGTTTGTGCTCTAGAAAAGGATCAGCACTCAGTGAATAACCTCCTAAGCCCTATGATAAGCTATTATGGCAAGGCTTAACTATACAGATCAGTGAGCAGTGATAACTAACATGTCTTTGGGGTCATCGGGTGGGAACCTCCTTTCACCAGTGTTTCGTCTAGTTGGTCCCACGACACCTCCAGGAGGCTAGACAGTGATCTCTGGTGTCCCAGAGACACTCCTCTAATGCCAGGTCCCACTGCTCCCCGCACCAACCCAATAACCTCCTTTACCTTACTTACACATGGCTTTCTCAGCCCAAACAGCACCGCCACCTTCAACCAAACCCAGGCTCCGTACATGCGAGCTCCAGGTAGAAGCAGTGCTGATACTACCTTTCCTAGCACTTTCACCATACTCTATTTTACATGCTACATAGCATAACTACAATATAAGCTAAAGTTACAGGAGATAAATAAGCTTACAGGATCAGCAAACACACTCACCTTACAGCATGGTCTCAAACAAAAGGGATTCAAATAGGCCACTCCCACACTTAAATAAGCTTCCTCTTCCTGGATTTCCTCCTTATTTATGGTGCGTTCCACGCAGGCTTTTGAATTCGTAAGTCACGACTTCAAGTCACGAGTTACGACTTTGTAGCATTCCAGGAAAGTTACGGCAAACTGCCAGTTACTTCCTGTTTAACATTGAGCATGGCGAACCGTTTGTTTGTGCTTCCCCATTATTGCTATCGCCAAAGGTACCTGCTCCTTGCTCATTTGAGTGAAACGGAGGAGGATAGGGTCACAGATGCTATTATAGGCTATTTTTTATGTTATCTGTGTGTTTGGAAAGGTATTTTGTATTGATTTATTCTTGTACTAGAAACCAGCTGTTAGAGGGGCTGCCAATAATGCGTTAACATTAGGGTTATTTTATGTCTATTTCTCACCATGTATCACCTGCATCAACACCGCATCCATAGGGCTGCCATTGTTGTTTAGAGGAGTAAGGTAATTGGTTTAGAGGGCTGTGTGACGTCAGAACCGTAACTGGGAGTACATCGATCTGGTACGAGTTCACGGGTGGGAAGTTACGGGTTTCCAGTGCACTTTCACGGGTTACAGGTTGTGAAAACACAAGTTACGGGTTGCCTCTAGCCCCAACCTCACCAGGGAGCACCTGGGTAGACATAGACAATGTCAAATTATTGTGTTTGATTTTACTTATTATGTTCGTGACACACGTTTTGTACTTTAATGACTGTTCTACCATGTTGAAGGAGGTGGTGTTGGAGGAGGACACTTAGTACAGGCACAAATCCTCAGAAGGCTTTAGTTGTTCAGACACTCCTACGCAAGGTAGAACAAAACACGACTATGTTATTTTATAAGTTGGACATGTCCCTCTTTGAAACAAATGGTCATGACAAAATCATTTTATACAGCAAAGCAAAAAGTGATGAAAAAATGAAGTGAAAGTATTGCAAATATGGCATCTGAACTACACCTCAAAGCAATATGACTATCAGAGTATTTATTATAAAACTAGAGCCTACAGGCTTTTGAATACATAGTTGTCATAGGTGGAAATTTCACCTTTTAAAAAGCAAGTTACTTTTATTTTGAGGTAATATATGATGGTATATTGGCCCAGTTCAGGCTGATCTCCTGTACTCTATGCATTTTACTGTGCACTCATCATATGATTAAGTAAGGGACTGTGACCGAATGTATTTGTACACTTTGTCTATTTCTAATGTATTTTGACATCTGTCTCTTAGCGAGGGACAGCTACTCAGAGTGTTTTGATGCAGGTTGTTTACTTTACTATGCATTTATGGCCTAATTGTTAATTGAGGGACAGCTACTCAGTACTTTATCCTTGGTACTGTGCACTTGTGATCTGTTTGCTAATTGAGGGACAGTTACTCAATGACCTTTTTGCACTTTATTGTCCTTACTGTGCATTTGTGATCTGATTGTTAATTGAGGGACAGCGACTCAGTGACTTTTTTGTGCTTTATTCTTCTTACTGTGCATTTGTGATCTGATTGTTAATTGAGGGACAGCTACTCAGTGACTTTATGCAGCTTATATCTTGTGCATTTATGATCTGATTGTTAATTGAGATTTTGGCACTTATTCTGCTCCTTTATGCACATACTGCTTACTGTGTCTTTCTTTATGTACACTTTTGATCTGATTGCTTATTAAGTGACAGTTACTCAGTGACTTCTTGCAAGTTTTTCCTGCGCATTTATGAGCTGATGGTTATTTGACAATTGGGTACTTTATTTGCCCCCTCAAGCACACGTTTTATTGTTGTTCACAGTGCCTTTTTGTACAAGCAGAATTTATTATGCATATGTATATCTATTTTCGGTGTATCTACTGCTATTTTGCTGTGACACACGTGTTTGAGATTGTTGTATTGTTATTGTGTTTTTCTTTGCCTGTGAGTTGGCACTACATTGTATGGCAGAAGTGTAAATTGTCTTTCCACACACCTGCTCTGATTGCTTCGAGCGTACTTAAACGCCACTTCCGTAACCTGAGTTACACACTGAAGAAGACTTTCTGTCGAAACGTCTGCGTTTCTGGTAACGCCACCCAGGTTGGTTTATTAAATTTACCAAAAGGACATTTGTGAGTGCTGGCATCTTTTCTTTTTTTTTGCTGTTTTTGGCCATGCACCTGTCGAGTGGATTTATTTTGAGAGTGCTTGCTTCTTTCCTACACAGTTCAGGCTGTCACATTGATATAGGAACTTACACTAAACAATAAAGGAGGTGTAATAAAGCAAAATGAATACAGTGGGAAGTAAGACAAATTTATTCTTGTAAATATGTCACAGAGTTTGCAAAGAGATTTGATCTCTTTAACACTTTTGGTGATTTATCAGAAACACAATTTAAATTCCATTAAACTCTGTGGAGCTCAAGAGTTTTTAAGTGTTTCTCTTATAATGTTTAAACATGACAATCAAAGCTCCACTATTGTCACAACTTCTCCGCCGTGACCGCCTGTGACATCAACATGGATGTGTGTGTGAGAGAGCTTTTATTTATTTTTACATTTGTGTAAATGTAGTGTGTTTGGTGTGTTTTGGTTTTTGTGCCTTTCCTTCCTCCCTCACTCTCTCTCATTGTCCTGCTTTCAGCACACCAGCTCTCCATCGCAATCAGCACGCCAGATCTCCATCTGTAATCAGCACACCGCTCCTCCAATCAAGCCACTCCTGTACACTACATATACTAAGAGCCTATTTCCAGTCCCTGAGGGATTGTAGTGCCTACTCAGTTTGTGATGAGTCACGCATCTAGCTCTTGTTCTGTTTGCTCGCCAGTCTTTTTAAGGTATTTGTTAGTTTGCTTACCGACCTCAGACACTTACTCCTGTCCTCATTCCACCAGAGCTGCCAGCCTTCACTCACTCATCAGCCCCTGACACCAATCACATCATCTTACCTGTCTTGTGTCTGCATTTTGGTTCAGCTTTAACAAATGTGACAACAATTATAGATAACATTGCCACTTTTAAAGATTTAACACAAATTTGGGAAATTCTTTTTAGTCAGTTATAGACCCTTTTAGGGCCGACTCTCCACCACAGGGCTGTAGGCTACATAGGAGTCTTAAAATGTGGTCTTGTTGTGTTATTGGGAGCCAGAATAGAAGGAGTCATGGCTCAAAACGTTAGCTCAACGTAAGCGTTCAAGTGCCGTCTTCCTTTGTAAGACTGGCATAGTAATCAACCACAAAGCTTCCTGTGACATCATCCATCCACTGAGTGAGAGCATACGGGTTGGCCAGTCTGGTCCCGTTGCTCAGTGTTTACTTATTCAAGTAACACTTGTGGTCCCGGAGAGTGAGTGACCTGACATGGTGTGTTCATAAATTCAGTCTGAAGCTCTACACTAAAATGAGAGCCCTGTTGGTCGCAGAAATGGAGCGTTATATTTCTACATGTATTACGAGCAGTTAAATTAATCACACATTCACTCCGCTCGATGCTCTGCTGCTACAAGAATGCGCTGCTATGGATAAATGAATGGCACATTCCGACAGCGTTACGAATTTCCGAATGGTCCACTTTGTGCCGGAGTGCGTTTTGGCACTTGGAATGAGTATCCCTGAGTGCACCACTCACATCATCTCCCTCCATCGTCTAAAACAAGCCAACAGAACTTGCTAGGTAGCGCTGGATGTCTGTGGAGAACTGTTTTACCTCCAGCTAAGCTAAAAGGGTCTATTCTTATCTCCATACCCTCTATTAATTCTCTATGTAATTTCCTACAGTTTATAAGATACAATAACTATCCCAACTTTTCAAATCTTCAGAATTACACACATTGGTGCTTGTGTCTTCTGTTCTTAAATACATTTATAACATAGTTTTCACACTGTATAAAGGCAGAGGGGTCCCATGCTGCCTTCTGCAGGGGCCATGGCCCCCTGTGTCCCCCTGTAAATTACACCCCTGTGTGAAATGAGTACGTTTGTCTCTAAGCAGTGGTTTAGGGTTTACTCCTCACCAGTAGTGTGTGGGATGAGACAGAAAGCTGCCGGTTCTTCTCCCAGGGCGACAAATTAAACTAAATACAGTCAATATTTATGGACGCTGCCTGCTCTCCTGCTGACTTGCACGCACTCACTTGAAAAGACGGGGGGGATGACGTCAGCCCAGACTCGCGCGTGCTCCGGTTTGTCTAAAACACTACAAGCAAACATATAAACAAAATGTGACCTTAGCAGTTTACTTTCCATTTTAACTGTGACTTACTAAAAGACAAGTTATGTGAAAAACAAACAAGTGAAAAGAAAGAGAAGAAAACGGGCGCGTTGCTATGACAACCAGCTCAACAAGCCTTGTTGTCATTAGCAACCACACCAGCGTTCGGACCTGAAGGCTCCGGTTAGCTGTTAGCTAGCAAGCAGGTAGTTTAAACCGCCAGATAACGGTAAGGTAACTAGTTTTAAAGTAATTTATTACTCTAACAATGGACTCAGACTCGTTATATTACTCTCTGGAGCTCGTTGGCGGCAGCGGAAACACTTTAAACGTCGAGCAGAGAACCGCGCTGCAGACTTCCTTAGTGCTCCTGAAGAAAAACTACAAGTTCCATCGAGTCTTGTTCTGGGGCAAAATACTGGGGTTAAAGGAGGATTATTTTATCGCTCAGGGGAGAGGAGAGGATGAAATGCAGGATAGAAAGAACCTCTACAGGTGAGAGAGCCTCAACTGTGGTGATGTCTCACTGTATGTCTCTTAACAGTGTGAAACACCTGTGTGTCTGTTTCTGTCCAGCTTCAACTGCATGGACTGGTTCCTGCTCCCTCCTGCCACAGACTCTATGATGGAGGAGGTGTCCAAGGCTGCAAAGTGTCGCTTCACAGGAGACCCCTCACATGTGTATGAGCATCGTGACATCCTCAGGCAAGGAGAGAAAGATGAAGAGGAGGTGGTGGTGAGTATGATCAATACCACTTGTGTGCACCTCAGTGTTTTTTGGGAGTATGTGTACTTTACTTGATTTTTTATATTTCTGTCAACTTTCACTTTTACTGCGCTACATTTCCTAAATAAAATGTATACTTTTACTCCAACACATTTCCCCAAGCATCTTAGTTACTTACTGCAAAATAGGGAAGGAAGGAGGGAGGAAGGTAAATCAAATGAAGGAATTAGAGGGAGGCAAAAACTGGATTTTGTTCTTTTAAATCCTTGAAGTTGTGAAGAAGACCTCATTTTTCTTTAAGTGTAATATACGCTTCAAGTGTGATAAACGCTCCCTTAGTAGATTTGCACAAAACACTCTTAAGTCTTATTTTTAAGGTTTCCTTAAAATGTTCATGCAAGTGTTTTTCTCCTTGTCCTGGTCTTATACCTAAGGAATCCCTAGACCAGGGGTTTCAAACTCATTTTAGTCGATGGACCACTTACAGTCCAATTTGATTGCAGGTGGGCTGGACCAGTAAAACCATTGCATAATATCCTAAAAACACCTCCAAAATTTTCCTTTTTTTGTTTAAAAAAGTACATTTTCTGGCGGAGGACCCCCAAATCCCATATGTGCACTACAATGTTAAAAGAAATCCTAAGCCCTTGTAGCACTGTAGGTTTGTGCAGTAGTTTTATTGAAGCTAAAGCAAGGATGGATGTGGGACCAAAATCAGACATACTAAAGAAGATGTAACTGAAGAAGAGATGACAGACACGCTCACCATGAAATTCAGGCCAGCTGCAACAAACCAGTGTTTTTGTTCATGAAGAATTAGTGTGAACAAATTTAATCTCAAAGCTGCATCAATGATTTATTTTCTCTGGCAGATATCAGCACTATTGGTACAGCCGTGGAATTCCAGCTTAGTAATGGACTGTTCTTGGTTTCAGACCAAAGTCAATGAGGAGAGCAGACTAGCAGTAACAGTTCATCACATCGATGACGAAGTGTCTGTGATACCACGCGGCGCCTTCATCAGGAGTCCTCACGGCCTCGTCCAGATCAACCGCAGCTTCGGTGGTAAATATATATATATCACTCTGCCACATGGTGTCTTGTGGGGTGTGAACATTTGCTGCTGCGTGTGAATGACCCCGAGGTGTTTCATAAAACGTGCTATTTATTTTAATTGGACAGATATGATAAACAGCACTTTAGGAAACATTTCATAACACTTCTCCAAATTCCGCTGAAAAGTTGCATCATCACTGCTGTGAATCAGTTTGAGTTATGTGCCAGTGTGCACTGCTCCTCAGGTCTGTCTCACTCAGAAGCAGGGAAGCTTGACAACTTCCTTCACTTCAGCCAAGCAAAGAATCCAAAGAAGAAATCCATCCTGGAAATGGGTGATTTGAACCCAGCCGTCGACTTCCTGGATGTACTGAGTGATGATATTCCTAAAGGTGAGACCACAGAGTTCAATCTTTCCCACACTATAACATGTCACCAGTTGATTCATCACATACAGGCGTATCCTACAAGGTTTGTTCCAGTTATTGAAATGTATTAACACAGCTTTAGCTTGCCCCTTTTTTATTTTATGATCACTGAGATTTAAAAGGTATTGTGAAGAAAACTACAGTATTTCAAACAAGAGCAAAAAAAGATCATCCTATGATCTGGAACCAAAAACACACAGCTGTTATAGCGTTGTAAAAAAAACTGATAAGACTGGTAAACTTCATTGTTTTTTTTTGTTTTTTTTTAAAAATACACACTCATTCTGAATTTTATATCTGCAACATATTCCAAAAAGGCTGGGAGGGCCATATTTACCTCTGTGTTACATCACCTTTTCCTTTTCAGTAAGTGTTCAGGAACTGAGGACACTCACTGTTGAAGTTTTGAAAATGAAATTCTTCCATTTCTTGCTCGATAAGGACCGTTTTAGGGCCAACTTCGCAATGATGCCAATTTGTTATCTGGAGGCAAAACCTGCCTCTCCACCACAGGGCTGTAGGCAACATAGGAGTCTTAAAATGTCATCTTGTTGTGTTATTGGGAGCCAGAATAGAAGGAGTCATGGGTCAAAACCTAAATTTTACTTTTTCACTGCCCGTCAACACAAACAAAGACAACTATGGTTAAATGTGATAAGATGAAAGGACTGGACGGAGGCAATCATCAAAAATGCTCACATGTGCAGCTCACACTTCATATCAGGTTAGGGGAAAAGTATTTCCTGTTGTAGGGATGAATAACGTTATGTGTATTAAAGGGCCAGTGTGTAAAATGGGTTGAAAACAGTGACATCAGTGGTCAAATTCTAGATTGCAGGGCTCACTCGCTCACCCCTCCCGTCGGGTAAATGACGGTGGCCTCATAGGGACAAAAAGCCTTGTGCAGACACAAGTTTTTCAGGAGTAGGTCTATCTAGCGACGAGGTGAATATTTATTTAGAAATCTAAAAAGGAGTGAAGTTGCGTCTTCTTTTCCTCGCAGATGACGGTTCGGGTTCATTCTCTCCTGTTGCGTGGTAAGTGTGGTCCATTCGCAAACTTTATAACTAAAAAAACTTTTCACTACTTTCTACCAACGAACTACTAACACTCTCTGCTGTTTCTTCCTCCTTCTTCCTTCCTTCTGCTGTCTTCGTTGGTTTGTTTATACACGCGAAACGCGTTCTCTGGCTGGCTGGATTGTCCGCTCGGGCTGCCTTACATACATGGCGGCGCAAGATGGCGACCTCTCTAAAGCAAGGCCCTTGCTATACATACATATATATATATAATTATAAGGCTATGAAAACCAAACAAATTTTATTTTATAGTGATTATACATTTGTATAAATATATTAATGGGTAGAATATTCAGATTCAGATTTGACAATAAACCATGCCAAATATTACACACTGGCCCTTTAAGGGTTATCATGTCCACCTCATCAGAAACTGGGGTGTGGTGCTGGATAACCCAACAGTACATCCCGACAGCACTCTGAATTCGGTCCAGTTTGTCCCAGAGTGCACTCTGGCACTCAGAATGAGTATTACTAAACGCACTGCTTGCATCATCTTATTCCATTGTCTAAAACAAGCCAACAGATTTCTCTCTCTGTAATGTCCGTAGAGAATTATTTTGCCTCCAGCTGAGTCCCGCCCACCAAAAAAATGTTTGTTATTTACTTAAAATAGTAAAAGAGTCTGTACAACTTCAGTTGCTCAACACTCCAGGGTCTCTGTTATATTTTGAGTTTCTTAATGCCCCACACATTTTCATTGGGAGACAGGTGTGGACTTCAGGCAGGTCAGGCTAGTACCTGCACTCTTTTACTACAAAGCCACACTGTTGTAACACTTGCAGAATGTGGTTTGGCATTGTCTGGCTGGAATAGGCAGGGACAACTCATTGTGTCAGTTTATCTCAGTTTATCTGGCTTGGGGCCAGAGAAGTCAGCAGCGTTTCTGAATGCTGTCATTATATGGTTTTTACTTTTTTCCGTAAGAGTCTTAACTTGCATTTGTAGATAGTAAATGGTAAATGGACTGCACTTGTACATCATCCTTGCTTGTGAACAACTGAGCCTGCCGAGGATGCCCCTCTCATACCCAGTCATGATACTAACACCTGTTACCAACTAACCTGTTTACCTGTGTTCCAAACAGGTGTTTTCTGAGCATTTCACAGCTTTCACAGTCTTTTCTTGCTCCTGTCCCAACTTTTTTGGAACATGTTGCAGGCATCAAATTTAGAGTCTGTGTATATTATGTTCAAAAAGCAATGAAATTAGTCAGTTTGAACATTAAATATCTTCTCTTTGTACTGTATTTAATCAGTGCAGCTCGAAAAAGATTGGCAAATCATTGCACTTTATTTTTATTTATGTTTTACACAGCATCCCAGCTGTTTTGGAATTGGGGCTGTAATCTTGTTTATCGTTAATCGCACTAATGATGCAATTAGCATACTAAGTTCATTGTTAGTTTGGAACATCTCTACTAAGAATTTTAAGTAAACTTAGATGAAGTCTTGTTCAGTGTGCTTTTTCCCCTGGGAATCCAGTGGTAAATCATTAGGTTTTTCTTTTTTAGTGTGCTCCAATTCGTATGCAACATTACAGCTAAATGAAGTGTAATTTCAACACGAGCCATTATGGTGATTCAACTGACGTGTTTCTTCCAAGTGAAAACAAATGAATCATTCTAACTGTAAAATGGTTGGTTAATCAAGGCTATCTGATAAAATAAATTCATTAATCTAAAACATCAAGAAACCTGCCATGATGGAAAAAGTTTTCTGGGAATATGTTGGAAGAAGGTTTGCATATAGTGGTACAGTAATCAGATGTCCAGTGCCCACCTACTGAGACTCAGGCCACAAGTTCTTCATCGGAAAATTACACGTCATTCTACTATCAACATAAAAACCAGGACTGAAACCAGAAAACGGAAATAGGACCACCTAAAGGCAAACTGATGTTAAATAAGTAATGGGATTGTGAACATCTGTAAGAAATCAAACACCACTAAACAAAAAGCAACACTTTTGTTTTTGCTCCCATTTTTCACATTATAAGGCCAAAGGACTTCATTAAAATCCATGTTAGTGAGCACTTCTTTGTTAAGATAATCCATCCACCTGACAGGTGTGGCTAATCAAGATGCTGATTAAACAACGTCGTGACTACACAGTTGTGCCTTGGGATGGTCACAATTAAAAAAGCCACTCTAAAATGTGCAGTTTGAACTCAAAACGTAAACATTATTACGATTTCACATCACTAGTGCTACAGAAATGCAGCTATGGTCACAGATACCCTTAAGAATCAGTATCTGATGTGACCACCATTTGCAAATCAAGACACTCATATTTTGATTTTTAAAGAGGTACAAAAAATTAAGCAGTAATTAAGCAGTTTATTTTTACGGGAAAAAAACAAACAAAATGACGTTAGCTTTAGCGCTGCATCTCAAAGCACTGTCCACTAAAAGGTGGTGACATTTTAATGTTTTGTGTTGTAAATATCTTCCCTTTAATTTTATTTTCTGTTGGCCTTGCTGACAGACTGCCGGCTCGACACGTTAACATGCTGAAACATAGTGCCCACTGCACACCCCCCAGTCTCCAGTGGTTAGCTAACGTTAGCCTTGTCCGCATCAAACTGCGAACTGTCCGGGTCAGGTTGGAGTTAGCTTGCAGCGCCACTCATTTGGTGAGTACTTGTAGTGCCGTCCTGGAATGGCACTGCTGCAGCACATGGTGGCCACCCTCTAATCTCCCCTGCAGGTAGCTACGGAGAGTAAGCGGGTTCATTTAGGGTGGCAAAACCTCTTTAGAACTGTTAAATATGTTAGCACCACTGGCCGTGCTGACACCGCTAACAGTATCAAGAGAGCTAATAGTAGTTCCAGTAGTTAGTTAGGGCCCAGTGTTTCCACAGCAATGCTGTTGGGTCAGGACGGTGTTACAAGCAGTACGACACATCTCCTGTGGGCTGTGTGAAGTTGCTGGATATTGGCAGGAACTGGAGCACCGTGCTGTACACACTGATCCAGAGCATCCCAAACATGCTCCACGGGTGACATGTCTGGTGAATATGAAGGCCATAGAAGAGCTGGAATGTTTTTAGCTTCTGGGAATTGTGCACAGCTCCTTGCAACATGGGGCCGTGCATTATCTTGCTGCAACATGAGGTCATGGCGGCAGCTGAATGGCGTGACAATGTGTCTGAGGATCTCGTCACGGTATCTCTGTGCATTCAAACTGCCATCAATAAAATGCACCTGTTTTTGTTGTCCGTAGCTAATGCCAGCCCATACCATAATCCCACTGCCACCATGAGGCTGTCTGAATCAGCATTCCGTTCACCCTTAGGCGCCATCTGCCTAGTACAGTGTAAACTGGGATTCATCTGTAAAGAGAACTCTTCTCCAAAGTACCAGATGCCTTCTAACTTGAGCAGTTGCTCACTGAAGTCGGGCACGAGTCGACAAACTGCTGACAGGTCAAGACCCTGGTGAGGACGACCTGCATGCAGATGAGCTCCCCTGAGACGGTTTCCAACAGTTTGTACAGAAGTTCTTCGGTTTTGCGAGCCTATTGCATCAGCTGTTTGGGTGGCTGGTCTCAGACAATCTCCCAGGTGAAGATGCAGGATGTGGAGGTCCTAAGGTTGTGAGGGCGTTTGGATGTACTGCCAAATTCTCAGAAACGATACTGGAGACGGCTCGTGAAATGAACAGCTCTGGTGGACATTCTTACAATCAGCATGCCAACGGCACGCTCGCACAAAACTCGCGACATCTGTGTCATTGTGTTGTGATCAAACTGCATATATTAGAGTGGCCTTTTATTGTGACCATCCCAAGGCACACCTGGGTAGTAATAATGCCGTTTAATCACTACCCGTCAGGTGGACGGATTATCTTAGAGAAGTGCTAACACGGATTTTAAGAAATATGCGACCAAAATTTGAGAGAATGAAAAAAGTTGTAGATCTCGTTTGAAAAATGGGAGCAAAAACCAAAGTGTTGCGGTTAAATTTTCAACATTCAAAGACGATGAAGTTGTTAATTCTTTCTTGAGGAGGGTACTAGACCTTTATCACAGCAGACATTTTGACCTGTCATAGTTGGAAAAGCTCAGGTGTTACTAATGACACCAACGATGGTTCTTTTCTCTGCAAGAGTCCCAGTGAGTGTGACAGTGAGCATGCATGAGATCCTGAAATCAAAACAGCTAAATGGAATTCAGCCGTCATTCATTTAATTTTTTACCAGTTTTTTCCTACTGTGACATGTCAAAATGTCTTCTGTGGAAAAAGGCCTATTCCCCTGTATTCTGTACGGTCTTTCTTTTTTTGGGGGGGGTGGGTCAAATATATCATGTGTAGTAATGCAGTTGAAAGCTTATTATGATGATGAGTCTCTCAGGTTTGCGTATTCAAATCCTGGTGGGAAGCTCAGACATCTGGGCTGCTGAACGGCACTACACATGCTGGAAAAATCAAACCCAAGTGGCAAACAATAGCAAACATGGATACTGTGAAAATAATATGAATAGTTTGGAGGTTTCAGCTGGATGAACTCGAGGTCACAGTCAATGTAGGTGAAGTAGACGCATGTGTGTGAAAGAAAAGAAATGTTTAGCGCCTGTGAACTAACACACAACAGATGTCCGATTTAAGAGGGCTTCCACATGTGTATATGTTTGTGTGTGTTCCTCGAGTTGATACGGATGTCAGCGGTGTCATCACCTCAGCCGACATTACCCAGCTGTCTCAGCGCCACACTCGCTGCAGCCGGCTCAGCAGCAGATTGCACGCTGAAAAGGAGGAATGAGTTAACAATTTTCAAACCGGGGCTGTGTGGAAAATGCGGTATGATGTATCTCCTCTAAAAGACAGGTGCTTTCCTCTGAGACCCTGAGTTGGGCTTCCCCTCTTTTCCACAACACTCCTGCAAACTGTTTCCAACTCCTGATTTATGGCTGCAGGTTTCTCCTCCCGCAGTCATACAGTTAGGCACCAAACATGTTTCTACTTCTTGTTGATTCATGCTTTGCCAGATCACTTCAAAGACAAAAAAGTGGTTTAACAATCGTCTAATTTGTCTGAATCATCTTCCTTTGTGTAATAGCATCAATCAGAGGGCTTTTTATGTTTACATACTGGCAGATCCAGTTCTTGCTCCTTGGTTCCCAGGATCTCGGGTTCATGGTCATACCCTAAATTATTGGGAAACAGGTTAGACTGAAGATATCAAAGGCACAAGGGCTTGATTTATAGAAGCATCCCTTGGCTGCCTCAAACATGTGTAGACTATAATTTTCTTGGACTCCAAAGATTATCTCTGTTTCAATTCCGGTTAATGATGTGGCAACTTGGTTGGGATTTTTTCCTAACTGGAATTTGACCTAAATGGGATATAATACAATAACTGTTTTTAGTGTATAATCACCTGAAAACAATCTGCTGAGATCACCATGTTGCACTGCCAGGTTCTACAGTAGCCCCAAACAGACAAACTTAAAACGTCTGCCACCATAGTTAGAAGCCCCTCTGCGATAAGAGCATTGGAAAACATTGATTTTTTTTTAACATAAAACTGCTGTATTCAGTGTTTTTACCGGTTTTAATCACCTGGTTTGTTTGGTTTGGAGCGGAGGAGAACTCTGCGGATATTGAACATCTGGATCTTAAGTTATCAGGGAAAAAAGGTGAGCGATCATTAGCAGGTTCTAGGCTAGCGGCCCGTCTCTGACGTGCCAAACGTTGTTGGAAAAACACTGCCATGTGACACAAAACTGCTTTATTAAGTGTTTTTACTGGTTTAAATCACTGGGCCTGTTTGTTTTGGAGAAGAATTGACCTCTGCGGATAATTTGGCTTCCAGTAAAAACTTCCAGGACATCTGCGTCAGGAATAAGCTGAACACACAATAAGTTATCAGAGGAAATAGATGAGCACATATTAGCAGGTGCTGGGGTGGCGGCCTTTCTGTGACATGCTGAGAACGTATTTTAACGTGAAACTGCTTTATTTAGTGTTTTTACAGGTTTAAATCTCCTGTTCTATTTGTTTAGGAGAAGAAGAGACCTCTGGAGATAATTTGGCTTCTGTTAAAAACCTCCTGCACAAACAACACTTAAGGAATCCCAACTGAGAGAAGTTTCAGCTGGTTTCAATCTGCAGTCCTCACCGATAGATGCCACTAAACCCCCCTGAATCTTACACACTGTTCCTTAAAAGCTCAGTTCAGACCAAAGATTCGAGAAGAGAGGAGTTGCAACAGGCAGCTACTTGCAATGTGCTGTTCTAAAAACTTGCCGGTTCACACCAATGCAACTAGATGAAACGGTGTATCATCTCTGTGCAACAACTCTCTGTACTTTTGTTCTGATTTCCAGCTTTTCAGGTTTATTTTGTGGCTGAATATAATTTGTAGCTTCTTAAAATATGAATGATGATAGTGATAGTGAGATACTGGCTACAGCTGCATTTGTAGTGGTGATGAAACAGCGAAAAACACAAGTGCAGCCTTTGTATTCCTGTTTTTCCCTCTGAATTTTATTGTTTATTGTCATCTGTTTTACCACCCTCAGTGATTTACATGGTTAACCACAGCTGCCATCACAGAGCCTGTCAGCCTGTTGTGCATTTTAAGTGTGGTTTCAACTTTTCAAACATTTCGACTCAATGAACATCTAAGTAGCATCTAAACGTGGTCTCGGTTAAACATTTGTGGCATGAAGTAGGTGTGCAGGAGTCACTTCTTCCCTTGACGTAGGCTGTTCTTTGATAGTCTTGCACCCACGTGATGTGCGTGTCATTATCTCCTCCAGCTTCCTGCAGTTAACATGCATAGTTTACAGCAACCCTTCTTTGTTTGTGTGTAGGATCCTGGAGCCTTCAGTTTGAATATGCCAGCAAAGTGTGCGTGCTTCGCAGCCTGTTGTGGCTTGGCCTGACCTTCTACCACGTGCCAATGACGCCACAGCACGGTTACATCTACATCGGTGATGGGACCAAGAATTTGGACCTTCCCTTCATGATATAAAAGGACATCTTACACTTATTTCAAGCTATGAAATTCTCATATCTATGTTCACATCAACCCTTAAAATGTACTCTGTGTAACATATTGCAGGATTTTTGTTTATGTTGTCTTATAACAAATAAACTAAAGAGGTACAGTTATGTAGTTTGTGTCTACAAGCTTTTTGATCTGATGTATAAAAGCTAGTCCTATACAGTAAACACACGCTGAGACACAGAAGTAAACACACACATTTTATTTGCACATCTGTGTTGCCTTGAGTTTACACAGTCAATATACCACCTACTTTGAAAACTGTGACACTGACCCAGTTGTTACTCACAGTCGCTTGTCAGCGAGTTCACTTCAAGGGCTTTTTGAAAACCAGCGGACAGGATAGATGGTTCTGGGTGGAGCCGAGCATTAAAAGATTGAGCTCAGCTTCATAAACAAGAGGGAAGAATAAATACAGATGGATGAAGCTTTTAGGCCTTTTTCCCAGAGCGGGATGACAACCCAGCTGAAAGTGCGTCCTCAGATAGAAAGGTTCCGCCCACTCTTGTCCAGCTGCTGCACTGATACATCAGACTTCCTGTCCTTCAGTGTTTCACGTTTAAGGGTTTGACACCGTAACGCACATTGCTCTGGAGTATTGGGTGACCAACAGCCATGCGCTTCTTACACCACTTTAGTCCCTTTTTGTAGATGGGTTTCACGGAGTTAACGGACCAACGAGTCAAGTATCTGTACAACAGAAAATGGTTGGTAGATCAATTGCACTGGCTCTGGTGTTAACGATAGATGATGATGAAAAACTTATTTAAGAAGACGCGTATGTATTACCTGTTAAGTTTTTGTTTGGGCTTCTTTGGGACGTGGCCCTCTGGAAGTTTGGGTCTGTGGTCGGGGAGCAGACCTGAAACACAGAGAAACAAAAGTCACAATTATGTACTTCATTTAAAGGTCCAACAGAAAGTTGTCATATTTGCTGTAACTGTCACTATATCCTGACAGTAATAACACATAACCTATGAAAAAAAAATCATGTTTGTTTACCTCCTCATAGTACCTTTAATGGCATTTGCTAGAATCCACCACACGTGAATGAAAGCAACCAATCAGAGCAGAGGTGTCTCTAACACAGCTTTTAATCCCTGTTCATGAACTGGTCAAATTGTTAAACGAGGCAGTGCTGACCAAATATGAATCAAGATTTTGTTACTGCATTGCCTATTTTTTACCTCAGAAACATATTTTAGTAAACTGTTTAGCTGTAAAATGAGAACATTTGTGACCCAGCTGCCATATTTACAACAGTCAAACGAAAACCAGGCACTGCCCACTGGCCGTACCAAACGTTCTCACTTTACAGCTAAACAGTACACTAAAATGGGTTTCAAAAAAAAAAAAAATCGGAGATGAGAAAACCCTTGGCTCTGACCGGTTGTTTAAGTTTGCGTGGTGAATTCTAGCCAATGCCAAGCGCAACAAGGAGGGACATGATTTTTTTCAGATTATCTGTCTCATGTACTGCTGTGTGGACGTAGTGACAGTTTTAGCTAACAGGACAAAACGTTACTTTCATACAAGTTACCAACTGCAGCTTTAAGTTTCACACTAATCCAAGGAACTAGCACAGTTGAACCACCGCATCAACACTTTTACCAGCCTTATCGTCTGTTTTAGCACAGTTTAAGTGAGAGGGTAACAATGAGCGCGTTTACATGCACACTAATAAACCGATCATTATCTGATTTCTGGAGTTACTTGATTATTCAAGTGGTCATGTAAACAGCATAATCCGATAGGCTTTATCAGATAAACGCCATTATCTGATTATGAGAAATCAGATAAATACATCTAGCTTTTTCCCCAATAGTCAAGATTATTCGGTGCATGTATACCCTTTAATCTGGTTTCTTTCGGGTTTTGCTATTTTATACTCCCACTCCACTACATTTTAGAGGGAAATATTGTACTTTCTACTCCACTACGTTAATCTGACAGTTTTTGTTTCCTTTCAGATAAAGATTTGACAGAAAATAATATATTTTTATATTCTCAGTGTTTAAATTGTCACTTTTATTTTATCTTACTTATATGTTATGCACTTTGTGTGACAAGTTTATATACAATACACTTGTATATTGCACTTTGCAGTACGTTTACTCCAAATCTACCCAAAGTGTGTAAAATTGGCTCCACATTGATAAACTACACATTAGAATACTCTCACATGTATTTGTTAATGATAAAAACAAACAGTACTGTAAGAATATAAGCTGTCAGCATGATGAGTGCTTTATTTTGCAAATATATGACTTGCGTACTTTTCAAGGTTTTTCAAGGATATGAGTACCTACGGTAACAGGAAGTACTTGTACTTGAGGAGAAATCCAACTTAAGGACTGAATCATGTAAACCAGGTTTTTCTGATTATCAGATTATTGAAGTGCACGTAAACGCGTCAAATCGGATCATTACCATTACCTGATTATTCAGTTATCTGATTATTGTGCGCATGTAACCGTGCTCAATGTCTTTAAAATCAACAGTGCTGAAACTATGTCAATTAACCAATTAAAGGACAACTGTTGACAGATTTGATAATTATACAAGCATTTCGGTCAATAATCAAGCAGAAATGCAACACATTTCCTTAGTCTTAAATGTAAGGATCGCAGCCCTGAAAAATCAGTTATACCCAGCATCATGACAGGCGGACAAAATTTAGTTACAGCACTTTGGTCTGCTATTAAAAAAAACAAAAAAAAGTTGATTAATTCACCCTTTTTAAATGCCTGAATCAATATAATTAAAATGCAGAGGTGGAAATTATTAACTATTAAAAACACAAACACGGGGCGTACAGTGACACTGACCTGCTCTGTGAGCCATCTGAACACAGATGGCAATTTTGCGATGCTCCTGTGGACAGAGACCAGTGACTCTATTCGGCAACATCCCTCCATCTGACCTGATGAACTGACTGAGCAACAAGACATCCTGGGAATAAAAGAGAAAGAAAACCAGACACAATAAACAGCTGATGCACTTTCCATAACGTCAAGTCAGCACATGTCGGTGGAGGCATTTACCGTGTAGTTATATTTGTGCTGCAAGTTCCATCTGTAGATGGGACACTTGGCTTCGGGGTTTGGAGGCTCTGGTGCTGCTGGAACGTCCAGTATTTTTCCTTCAACCTGACAGACAGTTAGTGAAATACAAAGTTATGGAAGGTTCCTTGTCAAGTTTATATTTACATGTGCAGTAAGAGAATGCATAATCCCTCTGTCCAACTACCCTAGCTAACTGTAACTGTTGGTCATAGAGCTGTGCCTCCGCATGTCATGCTGCTATGCTCTGTACTGCAATGATGTAATCTTGATGCTTAGATGACACCTTTGAAATGTCAATGATGTGTATAATTGCACATTTTGATAAGTACATTTCTCCAACTAGATAAAAAATACCAACTGCACACATACTCCCCATTTTTATTTTGATGATGGATCACTGGTGATTTTCATGTATTGCACAGTGTTGTTGTTTTTTTTATTGAAACATCCACATTATAACAAGACGGTATATTTTGCTCTATTTACCTTTTAATTTGTTTCTCTAGTCAACAGCCTCATATTGTGCAATACAAGTCAAAGCAATCAGGAATTTGAGAAATACAATAAATATACATATATATTTCTGCTCATCACTAGTTCAGAATTCAGTAAAATGCCACAATTAATAAAGTTTCATGTTTTATTTCATAGTGCTTAGAGGGATGCATGATATTCATTATTTTGCCGATATCCAATATGCCGCTATGTAACGATTTATTTGGCCGATACCGATATATCCACTTTTTCCCCCTCATAATTTTATCGATCGACAAGTCTCTTCTGTGGTACAATTAACATCATATTATGCATACATATCGTGATGGCCCACCAGCAGATGGAATCATGAAATACAATACTTTTCAGTGCATGTAATATTAATTAATTGTGTAAATTAAGAAAAAGCATGTTGGCCGATTTAAACACGATACTGCTGACGTGTTCATATTATCGTGCATCTCTAAGTGCTTAAACATCAGAACACTGTGTACTTAGCCCAGATAAAACTGGTAAAGGGCTTTATATATCTACCAACGAAAAAAAACTCCAAAAGATAGCATACATGTACGTTATAATTATCAGTTTCACATCAGAGTATGGTGTCACTTACCGTTGTTGTTTTACCCTCCTTCGTCACCACCACTGTGAAACAGACATAAAATGATGTTAGGCCTTCATCATAAATGTAATACCTATTTTTCTTTACTGCCTTTTTAATGTTTGTACATTTTGAGCTGATGTGACATCTGATACAATCATTAGCCTGCTTACAATGAGCTTGACAACAAGGGAACAACAGTGTTAACGAACAATAATTTTGACTCAAAGTGTGATTAAGTGAGGCTAACTTTGTGTCATATACATTTGTTTATTATGAAATAAAACCAAAGAGTCTATTCAGCAGTGTATGAATATTTAAAAACATGAACAGCAGATTTAAGGACATTTACAGTCAGGAGCAGGAGGCATCAAATACATTTAGTTACACGACAAGATGTCAAGAGGGAAGACAGCCTCAATGGACATATATCTTCTACTAACAGCTGAATTTAACGTTAGTTTTTCACGATGGTTGCTGCTCTTCCGATAAAGCAAGTCGGTATTTATTTGGAGTTGAACGCATGTCTTTCTGAAGTGAAATAACTCTGCTGACATTCCTTCAATCACTGTTATTGTATTTACGCTAACATGCTAAGCTAACGTTAGCTAACGTCAACATGTTTTCTTTTTCAAAAAACATTATTATTACAAATAACAATAACATATATACTGCCACCATCACATATAACACATCTATTAGAAAAACGTAACAATAAGCAAACTAGATAAAATACGACATTACAGGAGACTTGATGATGAACGTTAGCTAGCTAGCATTGGTGCGCTAAAACGTTAGCTAGCTAACACTGATGCTAACATCTTAGCCGTTAAAGATAATGCTCACCTTGGCGGATCCCTCGGCTCTGAATAGTTAAAGCTGACAGCTGGGGAACATTTATCCTCTGTTGAAGCGTCACCTTGGAGGCTGTGGCAC